AGGTTTTGTTTCATATTTAAATGGTTGTGTTCATATGTTTACATTAATGATGATATCATTTATTCGTTATGCTACAGTTTTTGAAACAAATACATTAAATCTATTTATTGGTCAACATTCATATTGGACAATTATTATTTGTTGGTTATTTAGTCTTATTTTTGCATTGCCACCATTGTTTAATTGGAATAAATATATACCTGAAGGAATTGGTTTTCATTGTGGATTAAATTGGTTTGATCGATCATTTAGTTCACGTATTTATTTTATTTTAGCTTTTACATTTATTTATTTTATTCCATTAATTTTATTATTAATTATTAATATATATATTTATTGTAAAATTCGATCTTTACTTTATGATGCAAAAGTAGCACAATCTAATGTTCTATTAAATATATTTTATCAAAAACATCAAACATCTTCATATAGTTTATCGTCAAAAACTAAGTCAACAATAAAATATAAAAAACATAGTTTTATTAGAGTACCAAATTCAATAAATAGAACTACTCGATTAACTATTCCTCGAACAACACATATGTTGGAAATGGATTATCTAAAGCGATTAAATCGTTTAAAAGCTGATCGACGTTTTGCATTGGCAACAATATTTTTAGTTAGTGAATATTTACTTAGTTGGACACCATATGCTATTGTGGCTTTATTTTATTTATTTAATGTAAAATATATTAGTCAACAATCTATATTCATGACAGTATGTGCATTTACTGCTAAAATTTCAATGATTTTAAATCCAATTATTTATCTAGCAACAATAAAAACCAATGTATTCAAATCAATATTATTTTGTGGTAAATGTTCGTGTTGTTATTGTCGCATAAAAAGCAATACTTTAGTTGCATAACTCTATATTTTTGTTTGAAAAAATAAAATAAAAAATATTTAATGTCTGTAATATGTAAAAAAATGATATGATAATATCTGATTGTTCTCAGACGACGAAAATGCATTAAATTAGAAGACCTATTCAACAGAATTAGTCATTGTGTAAATTAAAGCTTAGCTTTGAATGAATGAAATATAAAGTAGATAATTATCTATTTTTGTGAATAAATATTCATGTTATTTCATAGAAAAGAAAAGAAATTATGTCGACATATCAAATATTTATTTTCTTTGAAGATATTTTCTGAATATTTAATTAAAACTAATCTGTAACATTTAAAACTCATTTTATCATGAAAAAAAAACAAGTTTGTGAGATTTCATCATTGCTTTAACCCTCGAGCGGTGTCCTCATTTTTTCATACAAAGGGTGTATGTGGGTCCGGTCGGACCCACATAATAATTAGTAAGGAAAACTTGAATTTTTGTAAGTTTTATGCTAGCCATGGGTGAGTGGAGATCTCTACCATGATTTTCTTCAGGGATTGATATGCTAGCATGAGTTCAAATGTATGAAACGTTCGCATTTCAAGAGATATTTTTTAAGAAGAGATTGTGATAGCATTATGAAGTTAAAATAGCACTAGAAACTGACATTCTAATCGGATGACTCATCTTCTTTGGAAATACATTCATCAGTGGATATGTCGTCAGATTCAGATTCAGTTTCAGAAAGATAATCTGAATCAGAATTTGATTCATCATCCTCAGAAATGTTGGTGTCAAATTCATCAATATTATTTGTAGTAATAATCTCTCGAATTCTTTAAATTTGTTTTAGTGGTCATTTCTTATCTGAAAAATCAAGAAAGAGTTGAACTTACTATGTTTAAAGAACTTTATAGTTATCAAGTTTAGCTTATTTTCAAGGAAGAGAAACGAAGGATAGTCGTCATTGTTAGGAGTGATGGCAGACATAGCTCCATCAAAATCTAAAACAGTTTGTCAAATAAAGGTACAAAAATATATGAATCACTATTGGTAATCACAAATTAACGAATCTTCTGATAAATAACTATTCAAAACGATAGATGACAGGTCTTATAAGATTAAAACTTATTCTTATAACGCGAAGGGTGCCAGGGGGTCCATGCGAACTCACCCTTCAGTATTTTCCTGTAAGACCTATTCATGAAACTTGATATAGCTTCTATGCACCATTAGAAGACTAACGATTAGAATAAAGATCAAATGGAAAAGGATAAATATTAACGTAGTAAAAATCAAGAAGCAACGTTGTGGGTCCGATTGGACCCACAGACAGCGTTCGAGGGTTAAATAACTCGTGAGGATATTGCAACTGGAAGGCGTATCACATAGAAACTTTCTTTTTTGTTTGTTGACTATTGAATCTCAATTATTCAGTTTTATCTTTTGATTCAAGACGTTTTTAGAAGTTGAGATTGGAATCATTTTTAAAGTCATTTTATTTGGAAGATTTTCTCTATTCATGAGAGTCTTAATATGAAAAAGAATGTAATAGAGTCAGATGAGATAATGGTATAATGAAACAAACATGTTTTTTTTTTGTCTAGCGTATACATTCCTTTTTTAGTTTTCAATTTTCTAAAAATATTTTCTTCAAAAGCCATGTAGAGAAAATTTCTCTTTAATTATCTGTATAATTAGTTTTTCAAAATCAGAATAATCTATTTCCTCACTTAGGATGAATTCATAATCCTACTATTATTTGTTTCTCTCATAAAAGAAAGGAAAATCTCTACTATTGTTGAGTTGGATCTATGAAACATTGTCTAGGGTAAAATTAGCTGAAAGTATTGTAATTTCATATATATTTTTTTTTCTTTTTTTGGTTTTACTGAATTTAGTAGATTTATCTGAGATTACACATTTGCCAACATGGAATTAAATGTTTACAAATTGTTTTATTATAACTATCCAAAAAGAATTTGTTAACAATTAGGATTTTGGATACTGATACTTCAAATACTTTAGTTTCATAGAGAAGATCTTTATGTATCTACTTGTGAAAAAACTTTCATAAATCATCAGATAGAACGCTTATAAAATATGTTTTTTTTTTCTGAATTTCAAGCTAAGACCAGTACGATTATGTTTTCACTTCCAATAGGATAAGTGGAATATGTTGATAGAGATTTCTGAAATGTAGAATCTGCATATCTTGTTTGGCTTTCTTTTACACAATATAATACAAAATATGTCATGTGATAAATCTCAAATAGACAGTAACTATTTATCAAGGTTAATTAATCATGAGAAAATGTTCTTACTTATGTTCTAAATTGCAAGGGCAGAGAGTATAGAAACGAAAATTTACCTGCATCTGTCCGCTGATCTATCTGTAACATAGTTACCTTATGATAACTATGACCCTGGTGACGATCTGTAACTGTGGTTCTAACAACCGTGTAGGAAGTTATAAAGATCATCTAGTCACTACGATTGAAATCTATCCTTAAACTTGAAAAATCAGGATTAAAAAGCGACATTTGAACCGCTTTTTACTTAAAAAAATCATCGATTTTTTTGTCAAAATTTCTTAGGTGTGCTTTGCACTTCCTAACTGATAACAGTCAGACATCTTTATTATACAAACGTTTTGAAAGTTTCATTTAGCCAATAAATAAAAGCAAAACATTTATTTGGTTCAATGATGTTTCTCATCTATGAAAAAGATTGCCTGCACTATCAACTGCATAAAATGATATGGATATTACTGAATTAGAACAGTATTAACTGTGTACTAAAAATTGAAATCGATCAGTGAACATTTTAGTAATGAATGTTTACACTGATAAATGATAATCTTTAAAAAGTTAGAGTATCTACGAGCATATCTTGGTCTTTCATTTCAATAGTTAATTTGTCTTATATCTCATGCTGTTTTTACACAAGCATTAAAATTGATCGACGTCATTCAACTTGTGATCATTTTGATAATAAATTTTTTACAATGCTCTCATTAATTATTGCAGTGACTGCTGAGTTACATCGTGTAGAAATCCTTTTTGTCAAATAAATATACCATTAATTGTGCATTCTAAATTAGATTGAACCAGGCCATTTAAAAGCGACTCAATTTCGAGGCTTGATTATGATCAGTCGATGTTATATACATATAACTTCGTTCATCCTAAATATATTTCGATAATACTATGAAAATAATATACAAAATACTTATCTATTCATTATTTATATAAAAGTTTTTTATGTGTAATCTAACGAAAAGATTCATAGAATGAAATCGAACAATGTTTAATTATGAACATGTTTTCTCTAGAATAGCAAAAAAAGATCGATTAGTTTGTCAGTGGTACAGAGGACTTATTAAACTTTATTCATTACCTTTCATTTGTTTTTGCTTCAGTGAATATATTCTTTTTATAATAATGCATTCTACTTTAAAGTAAGGTCAAACAAGGACGGAAATTCATTATCAAAATGTCCCTTGACTCAAATTAACAAACTCCGAGAGGGATTTGTAGGTAAAAAATAGCATTTTTTCATAAGACTTGTTGACATAGGTTAAAAAGACATTCTGCTGCATCTAATTATGAATTGATACTTAGGATGGCGGATTTATATTATAGAATATTTAATCTTCTTTGTTCAATTATTTTCATGTCATATCGTAAATTCAAAATATCTTATTTGATTTTTTGAAGCATTTTCCTTGAGAAATAGTATTGATAAGATCGACTATGTCATCACTAAAAACTTTCTTCTTTTTTGTTAAGACGATTTAATATTTTTTGTTTTATATCTTAGCATAAGTAAATATTTTGAAAATCCAATATAATTAAATGGTATTTTTCTCTAGTCATTGTTTTATATAAAAATTTTAAGTTTAATCTTGTTACAGAAAGAAATCCAAATGAGTGATAATCAAACGATTGATCTATTCGTGTATTTATACCATGACTCATTGGATTATTATCAAATACACAATATCTATTTCTCTTCACGGTTACTCTTTTTTTTTATTGTATATCATCATAAAATGATATCATCACAGATGTGTGTTGATAACAGATATTTATGAGCTAAAAGTGCATTTATATATAAATAGAAAAGTACATTGAACTTTTCTATTCAAAGACAACTAATAAATGATGAAACATATTAAAATAAGTCTATTGATATTAGTGATTTGTATAATTATTTATTTATTTATTGAACATATCAATCATCGGGCATATGAATTACTCAATGAAATTGAATATCGTGGGAATCGTTCAATCAATCAAATTGAAAAACGAACACATCAACTAATAAATTCTACAATATTTGAAATCAATAATAAAATAACCGAACAAATAAATTCAGTTATTGATAAAAGTCAAAAATACATTCCATTACAAAATCCATATGGTGCTAAAACTTGTACAGAATGGTTTGGATGTTATAAAGGTTATTGTTGGGCAGGATGTGCTGGTGCTTTTCCATCTGTAACTGGCCCTGAATGGTGTTATACAAGAAAATCAAATGGAAAAATTCTTTGTTTAGAAGATAAAGATTGTAATGGATGTTGGCGATGTTCTAGTCCATGTAGTGTTTAATCAAAAAACTCTTTTTTCATATTCTTATTTAAATATAGAAATATATAAAATAAATTTCTAAAGATTTTTCATATTGGAAATCAGATCCGAACCTGAATCGTATTCTTACTGTTCTCGATGAAATTTATTCATTCTCACCTTTGACGGTTGTTCCAAAAATACAAGATACTTTTTTGCGATAAATTATAGTTGGTGACTACTACAACCGATACATTGCTCATGAAATCTTAATATTGATGATATAATAATCAACGTATAATCGGCTCTGACTCTTAGCTAGAGCTCATAGACTTACGAAGTTTTGGATTCAGACCTAAACTGTAAATAGAAGGTACTGAATAAAAAGTTTACTACGAAAAGAAAGTTAAATTCAATAAAATTAACTGATATTTGTTCATGATCATTTGAAGAATTATTTAAACTAATGTTCTGTGATCATTCTGAGTACCATATTTAAATAACATCAATAACTCGATTTGAATAACTATATTGATTATTATACGTAAAAATTAAATTATTGTATTTTGTACAAAAAAATATTAAACAAATAAAAGCCAACTATGCAACAAGTTTGACAAAGTCATCATTAAGAAAAATATTGACTTTAATAACAAAAATTAGTGAATGTGTATTACTATCGAAATCGATTAAAATAATTTCGTCATCAGTATAATCCAAAATACCTTTTAATGAACTATTGATAGCTTCTTTAATTGCAGCATAAATATTATTATATTTAGCCTAAAATAAAAATTTAACTCAATAAATCGAATAAAAATCAAAATATTACTCACGTCTTTGTATAAGTTGAAACATTTCGTGTTGGGACACGTATAAGTCATATCGCTTAATTTTCTATTTAAGGCTCCACTCCCTAGAAAATCGAATTTTTCAAGGAAATATCGAAGTTGAGTTTTTACCGTAGAAAGATACAGCGAGGCTTCTTCTTTCATAATATGTATAGCTTTTTGGAAAATGAACAGATTTTCAAAGACTTATTACATGAAACTTTGAGTCTGCTAGCATATTTTCGGAGAAATTTTCGTGGTTTTTAAAGTTTTACAGTTTTGGAAAAACTGTGTTGCTACTTATATTATCATTGAAAAGAACATTTTTATATTATCCAGCATATTAGATGATGTTAGCTACCTTCATCAACCACGCACTTTCAAACAGTCCACTGAAATATATTAAAAATATCCCATTGTAATATGATTTGTTCTGTATTTGAATGAAAAATCCATTTCTACAGTGTTCATAAAAATGTTTTTCCAGTCGGGTAACATTGTTATTTTCAATAGCATCAATAAAAAAATTTTATGCCAAATTAAAGCGTGTCAAAAATAGAATTTACCCGTATTAAATAGTAAAAGTTATAGCAATTTTTCAATATCGAATTCATGAAGTTTCTAGAATTTGACGTCACATTGGCAAAGACAGTTTTCTTGAATGAGACAGTTCAAACTAGGCTTGATTCACAGTCGTGGATATCAGAAGATGATTGAAAAGTTGCTATAACTTTTACTATTTAATACTGATAAATCCCATTTTTGACGCACTTTAATTTGGTTTAAAATTTTTTATTGATGTTGTTTAAAATAACAATGTCACTTCTCTGAAAAAAACATTTTTACGCACACTGAAAAACTTCTTTAGCGTTATTCTCGTTTCACAGTTTTCGATCAAGGCTAACTTTTTATCGGACGAATTTTTGATACTTGACTCCAGGGCTGAGAAAAGTGGGATTTAATGCCGTGGGATGACATTTTTTTATGCTTGTTTTGCATACATGTCCAAAAAACTGTTCGTAAAAAATGAATGGAAAGAAGTGTCACAATTCCGTTCGATGAAAAGTTGCGTACAGAGACTAGCTTTAATTTAAAACCAGTCCGAGCTCTGTATCTCTTCTAATGACGGAGTTATTTCGATTCTCCTGGAAGGTCGGAAAACTAGTCGAAATTTCGGTCTAGTCAGGCATATCAGGCTGAAATTTTTACCACAAGAGTTTTTCACTAGGATCATTCATTTCTGAAAGTTTCAGCTCAAACGATCCATCTCAAGTGGGAAATCAATTCTGAGGGAAGTCCTTAATACAATAAAATTAGCATTTCGTATTGAACATATAACAGCAACAAAACCATTTTCAATTCCAATTAAAACTCTAAAAGAAAAAGTATAATTTATTTTTATTATTTGTTTTTTTAATTTTTTCTAACCGAATGTTAAGATTACGATAACTTGGAGTTATTTCAAATGATATTGTTCCATTATCATCACTTCTTATTATTTTATTACCATTTAAACATGATTTTAAAGAATTTTCATAATCAAAACATTGAGTTGTGTCAGTTGCTAATAATCTTTATAGAAAAAAACACAAAAATAAAAAATTATAAAATAGAAAGAAAAACAAACTTATAACAATGATGACCACGTTCAGATGTAACATCATTATAACCACGTTTACAATTCAGACATTGTTGATGAATTCTTGAACGATATTGATAAAGATTTGAATCCAATAAATGTGAAAGACACTTACAACTATCAATTACCTTAAAAAACAAAAAAGAAAAAGGAACAAGATTTATTTTTTTTTGTATTACAAATATTTTTCATTTATTTATATTTAATTTACTATTTGTTCGACAATCATATGTTTGTTCAATATATGAACATTCAAAACAAGTTATTATTGATATTTTTAATCCAATTAAATGTATATGTTGATTAGTCTCAATTAGATATTGTAACAACAGCTGATAATAAACAAGTAGTCAACGAAAGTAGTCCACTTATCTTAGCTATTAAACCAAATTATGGAAAAAGGTGTTACTCCGGCAACTCTAATAGAGACAGTTACAGCAGCAACTAATCGAGCTGCTCAATTAGAATCATAAAAATTCATTTTATTCAACCATTCTTAGACTTTCTAAATTTTTTTTTTTCTAAGAATTTAATTTTTGTTTGTTTTCATAGATATTGATTATTAAATTGAAAAAGAAAATATATATCAATAGAAATTAAAATTCTTTTTCTGTTTACTTGTTTATAACAAAAAACATTTATTTGATTTCGATATGATAGATAAATAAAATAATTTATTAATAAAAAATATTCCAATCAAATAATTTCTAAAGAAATATCGATTAATATTCATCAATCATTTATAAATAAATTTATTTGATTTTTTCGATCTAATGAATATAAAAAACTTTTTTTTTATTCTGTAGACAGGTCCACATGTCATGCAGTCTTAGCAATAATTATATATAGGGTATTGCGCATCATATAATTACAGACAAAATTTTTTTTCTATTCCGACGTTGATAAACACACATATGTCAATCGAATGATTAGTATCATTAAACATGTGATCATCGTTCTAATGAGACTTTTTTCAATAGAGAGAAAATCAAAGGTAATATTTTTTTGACGTATTGATTACTTGTCTATTGCCCCGCTTGTTATTTGTTATATATTCCTGGTCAATGTTTTTCTCTATACTAACACAAAGAAAAACATATATGGGTTTACATTTTATCTTGACATTGACTCGTATAAGCAAAAGAATGATTAATAAGTCAGTGTGCAGGGTCCATAAAAATATTTTTTCAGAGAAATAACGCTGTGATTTCAAATAACATTCAATATCATATTGTATACAAAATGAAAGCACGTTGAAAATGGAATTTATCAATAGTAAATCGTAAGCGTTCGGATAACTTTTCAATATCGAATCGAAAAAGTTCTTAAAATTTTCCATTATATCAGTAGAGAATAATTTCCTCTCATGAAGTAGTTCAAACTACATCTCATTTAAAATGATAAATATGAAATAGTACTGGATACTTGACCTAGAAATATTGAAACAATAATCAAAATTGAAGCTAAAAAAGAATGACTATCAGATATAGGCCACAATTATTTTGATAAAGAAACTCTAAGAAAACATATTTCATATGTTTTGTCAAAGATGGAAACAAACATTGAACTATTTGAAATTATTTTATGTTCGTAACCATCTCATCTTCCTGCTGTAAAAACACTAATATTCATCATATTGATTATTGATTATATTCATCAAGTCTTAAGAAATAAATATTACTTTTTGATATTCATCCTTTTAAATGAGATGTAGTTTGAATTTCTTCACGAAAGGAATTTTTTTTCTCCTAATATGATGTAAAATTTTAGGAATACTTTTAAATTCGATATCGAAAAGTTATCCTAACGCTTACTATTTACTATTGATGAATTCCATTTTCGATGTGCTTTAATTTGGTATAAAATTTGTTGTTGATGTTATATGAAATTATAGCATTATCCCTCTAAAAAAATGTTTTTATGCACCTTGTGCTTCAAGATATAACTGTACAATCATAAAAATTTTTGTTTTATTTGTTTACAATAATTGATAAACTTTTGTATTCTAAATGAATATTTATTAATAAAGGGAAAATATATCATATAATAAAAGATTATATTAATAATTGTTTATAATTAAAATAAAACTTTTAATATTGGATGAGAATTATACTGAGGTTTCCAAACAGTTGGAATGAGTTGTTTTGATATCCAATATTTATTTTGATAAAATGTATTTATAAATTGTTCACTAATTTTTGCACATTTTAAATCTAAAGTGAATTCTTGCATTAGAAGCCAACTTTGTTGAATAATATCTTGCCAATGAAAATCATCAATCGACGGATATTGTCGAAAAGTATCCCATTGAATACTTAATCGTTGTAAAGAAGGAAACATATGTCCAAGACATTTGACATTAATTGAATGAATATTTATATTCATATCAAGTTTAAAAACATTTTTTAAAACATATTTTAATAATGATTGTAGATTTAGTATATTGTTTTGTAAAAATTTAATAATATCTTCTCTCCAATAAAATTCTTCCATTGCAATACGACGAAGATTGAAAAAAAATAGTAGAAATATTAGAAACTAGATAAAGATTTCTAGTTAAATAATTGGAACAAATAGCAATTGACTTGAATTTATGTTGATTAATCTTTTAATAAAAATTCTTGATAGGTAACTTCTCTTGAATGAATTAATAAACTTGGATGTTCAATACGTAAATCTTTTATTTAATTAATTGTTGGAATAGTATCAAGAGTTACTTGAAGAGAAAATCCATTTATTTTATAAAGAGTTAGTGAACGAAGATTAGGATATGTCGAAATTGAAAATTGTCATAACATGAATATATCATAACAATAAGATAATTCACGAACATGTGAAGAATCTATAGTAGATGTTATTAAATTTCAAGTTTCTATGCTTTTTCTTGATGGATCAAAACGAATATGTAAATAACATTATCGTACAAGATCATTAAAACGATGATTTAATCCATAAAATGCTGTGAAAAGTTCATAAACATCCAAATATTCCAAAATTTCAAGTAATAATTCATTAGACGAAGCTTCAAGATATGATCCACTTGCGTTAGACATTGTAAATATAATACGTTGTTTTTTATGTCATTATATATATATATATGTGATACAATTAATACAGATGATTCTTTTCTATGCTTCGCTTTTCAAAAGACAAAAGGACATGAGGACACTTCATAAAAAAAAAACACGTTACATAATGTTACGATGATCATTCGGCAGGTACGCACCTTTTCTCCGTTCGAAATATATATTTAATTTATCACAAGATAATTATCCTTTGATGTTATATTGACATAAATTCTGTAAAAATAATTTTAATCATTTGAGAAAGGATTGTTTTTTATTAAGAAATTAAGTATTATTATTAAAATTCGTTATAACTTGAAAATTATTAATGATTATAGTTGTTGCATTCGTTCTTTTATTTAGAGAGTAACTTGTGAACTATAAGGTCGGAAAAAAAAGCAAAAATACGGAAAGTTCACGTAGCACATACAAAAGTTTTCGTCTCTCATTAACACCTCGAAAACATAAATTGATAGGTTTCAACATCAAAGAGTTTATAAAAAAAATCTGAAATTTGTTTTATTTATATTAAAAAAGAGAAGAATATATTCTTTTTTTTTATTGATGATTAAATATATCTGAGTGAAATATTGATAAAACAAGTATAACATATTGTCAATTATTCGATTATCTATTTCTAATGGAGACAATGAAACCCGAGATAATTAAGTCAAGTAAATATAGACCTTCCTAATTCATCTAGTAGTAAGGCTAATAAAAAGTTTAGACAGATCTTCAGATAAAAATACAAGTATTAATCAATAATCTTTTGTATATTTTAATTTGATCTCTATTATTTAATTTTACTTCTTCTACAAGAATTTGCTATCTTAGAATTAAAGATTTCTATATATAGTTGAAATTTAGCGTATCTTAAAATATAATGAAATATTGTTAGTAAATTATTACAAATCATTTTCCATATTTAATTATACAATAGTAATAAAAAGTTCGGTGAAAACCAAGAATTCTCGATTGAAACTTGATCTTTCAGTTGAAATAAATTTGTTTCATATGTTTTATATGTATATTTGTTAATCTTTCATGTTGTAATGTATAAATGAAATCGTACCACTTTTATGAGAAAAAAAAACAACGCAAAATATGATGGGATAGCATTTTTTTGTTCATCAAATTTGTCCAGCTGCGAAATGATCACCAAAAAATTAGTGTTTCGATCACCAAATTTATTATAAAAAAAAATAAGATTAACATATTTCGTAAGAACATAATGAATATTTTCTATATTCGTTGCATTCGAATTTGTATTTTGTTCGATTCTTTAAATCTGAGCGTTGATATTGGCATACCTTATATTGAGATTTTACTAATATAGCTGCTTCGTCATAGGATGGTGCTGTAAGCAATAGTTGCCATTCTTGCTTCGACATTTTTTTAATTCCAATCAACATTGAAGCGTTTTTTTGTATGAATAAATAGTGGAATGTCTCGTCTATAATAGTATATATATATATTAAATCTATTTTGGACTTAGTTACAATATTTTTTCAAACAAACTTTGATTCGAACTAAAACAAATTTTTTTTTGATGGATAATGAATTCAATCGATACTATATAAAAATTCGGACTATTTTGGAAACAGATCCAAAGACAATTCACGAAGAACTTGTAACAGCTTCAGGATCCAGTGCTCGATCATATCCAACAGTTACAAGGTGAGCAAAGCGTTTCTGTGAAGAAAGAGAAGATGACAATGATGATCCTCGATCTGATCGTCCGGTATCCGAACTTGCACATGAACATATTGAATTGATGCGACAGATTATCAGCAATGATCCACACTCAAGTTGTTATGATATTATAGCTGAGATTGCTTTCTCTCATGGTACAATAGAACGAATTATCCACAACTATCTCAAGATGAAAAAAGTTCCATCTCGTTGGGTACCCCATCAACTGAATGATGAACAAAAGCAAGAACGACTTAGACTTTGTCGTGAAAATTTAGCAAAATTTCGTAGTGGTTCTTGACGATCATATGATATTATAACAGGTGATGAGACGTGAATTTACCATAGGCAGATTCATCACAAGTCAACAAACACATCCTGGATTGGCGAAGGTGAATCACCCACTACTGTTGTTCGTCAAAGTAAATTTGAATCAAAAAATTTATTTTCTACATTCTTTAAATCAAATGATTCTGTTCTTATACATGCTGTTGATAAAGGCAAGACTATCGATGACGACTATTATATTGAAAATTGCTTCAAGCTTGTTGTCAAGGAAGTATGGAAACAAAGAAAGTCAGCAAGTACAAAAAGCATAAAATTGCTTCAGGACAATGCTCGACCCCGTACACATTCCGATGTTATTAATTATTTAACAGAAAAAGGTATCATTATAATGCCGCATTCATCATATTCACCTGATCTTACACTATGTGATTATTGGCTAAATGATTACATCAAGCGTAATCCAACTAACCAACCAAATGAACAATAATTGGCTCGTGCAGTATCCAAGATGATAAAAAATATTCCAGAAGAAGAATTTAAAAAACTTTTGACAAACTATTAGAAACGATGGAACTGTGTATAAATAATCGTGGTGACTATTTTGATCATTTAATAAAATAAAACTCGAACTTTCACTTTACATTTTTTTTAAAGAATCTTAGAACTTTTGGTCAGACCTAAGTACATATAATATTTTTTTTGTCTGAAAGAGCATGTCAGAATGCAGTGCCTATGAGAGCTTTTTTTTTCAAACTCTTACTTTTTCAGGGAAAAAGTTCAATGACTCAGAAAAAGCTGTCTAAAAATAGTGCTGTAATTATATATATAATAAAAGCAAAGTTTAATAAAAAAACTGTCTCTCATAGACACTGCAGTTTTACATACTCTTTCAAAGAGAAAAAAAAATTTGACTTTATATCACGTTGTGGTAGAGTGCCGCTGGAAACGCGCCATCAAACATACGTTTTGAGAAAATCTAAAAATGATTTTCGATTTTTTCTGAAAACGAAAAAAAGAGGTATCAAATAAAAATTTTTGTCGCATATGAAAGAGCAGATGACGGGCTATTTTGCCATGAATTTATCTCAATTTCGATGATTCTGACGAAAAGTGACTTTTTTGAGAGAGGTCTTAAACTATAATCAACATCACTAACAGTAGATAAAAGTAGTTTATTATTTAGTAATAAACGAATTCATGGATTTATATCACATATTCAACGCACATTATATGTTAATATATATATATATCCTTGATTTTCATGTTCAATATGACAAGAGAATAAAACACGATTTAAATATCAGTTTAGATGTTATCTCAAGCATTTTTAAAATCTCTCTCTGTATTCAAAAAACAAAAGAATCGATGAAGTGTAATTAAATCGTGACGAAGGTCTTTTACAAAAATTACTGTTAATCGACTATACATAGTTGTACACTTATAATGTATATATTCTCTTAATTGTTTTCTTAGGACGATGTTTTGTTTGTTAATTCAACTATGCCGTTGTTATTTTGAAATCAACGTAACTCTAAAAAAAATTTTCTATTACGAAATCTAAAATGGTTCTTCCCATGAATACAAACTTGGAACCTTTCTTTGGTTTCGTACCAAACCCAAAAAAGGTTTCGACACATCCATGAAGTGAAGGAGGTTTTGTGCTTTTCGTACGAAACTAAAGAAAGGTTCAGAGTTTATATCCGTGGAAAGAATCTTTTTAGGTTTCATGATGGAAATTTTTTTTAGAATATCATTTCATGTTTTAATCCAATGGAATTTCGTGCTATAGATGTTTTTATTTTAAACATAAGTTTCATCTTTATTAAGAAAGTTTTAATAATGAATTTTTAATAGTAAATCAATAAAATGAATAATCTACAAAACCTTTGTTGTAGCAACATTTGAAGGATAACAATAACATCAGTTGTTAAACAGAACGAGAAAAAATAATTTTAGTTGTTGGCAAAAAAAAAAGAACTGATTTTGTCACATGTTCTCTTTCATTCTAATAAATAATAAAACGCATTTCAGGAATAAAAATTTTGTTATTACGAATGATATAAATCAAGTATAATTATTCATATATGAAATATGTCGAAATATTCATCTAATCTTAATTCAAATGAAACAGACGAAAATAATGAAAATATACAATTAATTTGGCTTGATAATTCGAATTGTCCTACTCATATTCAATCAAAATTAGTCGAATTAAATTTAACTATTCAATTTTCTATTGATCTTAATCAATGTATAACATTAATACAATCAATTAAAGATAAACAAATAATTCTTATAGTTTCAATGACTTTAGCTCAAACAATTCTTTCTCAAATTCATTCATATCCTTTATTAATTTCTGTATTCATTTTCTGTTCAAATATTAATGAACAACAAAAAATAAAATTAATGAATGAATATAAAAAAATTCTTCAAATATATTCTGACTATAATTTATTAATTAAATCAATTGAACAAATAATAAATATTATCGAACAACAAATTTTATCTTTTAATCTATTCAATCAAAATAAAGATTTTACAAATGATTTATCAAAGGATTCAGCATCATTTCTTTGGTATCAACTTCTTATTGATATACTTAAACAAATACCTGTTAATGAACAAATTAATAATCATATATTTGAAACATCTAAGAAGTTTTATAAAAATGAAATAAATCAATTTAAAAAAGATTATATAAAAGAAAAATCTATTCAATTATTTAATGAGAAATATTTTATTCGTAGAATATTAAATCAAATTTTACGAACAAAAAATATTCAATTGATTTATTTATTTCAATATATTATTATTGATCTTTATGATCAAATTCAATTAGAAAAACAAAAATATCAAAACAAACAAATATTAAAACTATATGATGGACAAAAACTATTAAAAACTCAATTAGATCAATTAAATCAATACATTGGTTATTACATTACACCAAATGGTTTTCTTTCAGTATCATTTAATAGAAATAATTCCATTGCATTAGCAAAAAGTGAAATATTATCTGATGAGTATCAATCAATACTTTTTCAGTTTGAAATAAATCCAACATATCAAGAAATAACATTCGTAGAAATTCATGAAAATCAAGAATTAATATTTAATATTGATACAGTTTTTAAAATAAATTCAATTGAATATGATTCTTCTCTACAATTATGGAAAATAAATCTTATCAATGATCATACTTATCGAAATAAATTTCAAACATATTTTCAATCAATAAAAAATTTTCGAAATGAAAATTCTTTTTTAATATTCTTTGGTCATCTTTTTACTGAACTTGATCAATTACAACAATCAGAAATATATTTTGATATTTTACTTAATTCTTTACCATCTGATCATGAAGATATTGCCTCGATTTACAATCAAATTGGAAATTTCTTGGCGGATAAAGGTCAATTAAAATTAGCACTAGAGAAATATCAACATGCATATCAAATTCGTCAAAAAAAATTACCAAATAATCATCCACATATAGCTATATCATTGAATAATATTGGTTTAATCTATAAAGATGAAGGTAATTTCGATGAAGCACTTGATTATTGTCAAAAAGCTTTAATTATTGATGAAATAAATTATCCAAAAGATCATGTATTAAAAGCAATGACAATTGAAAATATAGGTGGAATTTATAAAGAAAAACATTTATTGCCAAAAGCTCAAAGTTATTTCTTACGTGCATTAAATATGTATAAATGTGTTCTACCACGAAATCATCATTTTTTAACTGATATATTAAATAGTTTAGGAAAAGTTTATTGTGATCAAGGATATTATGATCGAGCATTAACATGTTATCAAAAAGCATTTTCTATTAGTGAAATTAATTATAGAAATGATCATTTACAAAAAGCTCAAACAATTGAAAATATTGGATTATTATATAAAACTAATGGAATGTTAAAAAAATCTCTTGAAGAACTTTTAAAAGCACTTGAAATGTATAAAAGAATTTATTCTAATGAACATTATGATATAGCTCGATGTTTTGGTCATATTGGACTTGTTTATGAAGCTAGTAATGATTTAAATTCTGCATTAAATTTTTTTAATAAACAATTAAATATGGATGAAAAATCTTTATCAAATGATCATAAAAATATTCAAATTGATATTCAATGGATTATTGATATTTATAAAAAGAAAGGTCAATTAGAAAAAGCATTTGAATTTTGTCAAAAAAAATATCAAGAAAAAAAAACTTTACTTGGAGAAAAACATCCAATGACATTATCTATCTTTATGACAATGATTGATCTATATGATGATCCTAATGTTAAAATTAATTATTATAAACAAGTTTTATCTTTATATGAAAATTTAATACCACCTGATCCATATGGAACTATTAAATGTCTAGATATAATGATTCATTTTTATATTAAGAGTAATGCAATTCAAGAAGCATTGAATTATCAAATTAAAATGGTTGATCTTCAACGACAATTATTAACAAATGATCATATTAATCTTGCTTTATCATTACAAAAATTAGGACAACTTTATGAAAATTTATCAAAAACAAATGAAGCAGAAAAATGTTATAAAGAAAGTAGAATTATATTTGAAAAATATGAAAATAATCATAATAATATTGAATCTTCTCATATGAACTATTCTTCTAATTCAAATTTAAATCATCATGAACAAGAATCAAATTTTACTAAAAGTAGAATATGTGTTTTACTATAATATTATCTATTAAATGTATTTTTTCTTGTAAAAAGAAAATATATATATGAAGAGGGCCGCAAAAGTTTAAAACACTTTTATTTTTGAAGTTTTTCATCGAAGATGAGTAGCTAGATCAAATACAAATAGTGATTTTGACAGCTCTTGAAATTTCCTATTGAATACAATATGTATCAAATTTTCAAAAGAAACTTTGTGAAGAGAGTTTTTCAAAAAACCGTGGGAGAGGGATTTCAACTCCTAGAGAATTTTGACAGAAAGATTTTTCAATATAAGCATATCAGAGAGCAGAAAATTCTCAACAAAATGAAGGGTCGCCCACCTCCCTACGACATTCTCTCACAAAGTTATAAGCATTAGAAAAAAAAACGAAAAAACGCGATTTTAATCGAATTTTAGGGCTTGTTTTGATAAAAATCGACGAAAAACGCGTTTTCTTCATTTTTTCTAATGCTTACAACTTTGTAAGGGGAATATCGTAGAGAGCTGGACGATCCTTGATTTACTTCAGAATTTTCTACTCTTTGAGATGCTTATATTGAAAGATCTTTCTGTCAAAATCCTCTAGGAGTTGAAATCCCCCTGGCACGGTTTTCTGAAAAACTCTCTTCACAAAGTTCTTTTTGAAAATTTGATACATATTGCATTCGATAGGAAATTTCATGAACTGTCAAAATCACTATTTGGATTTGATCTAGCTACTCATCTTCGATGAAAAACTTCAAAAATAAAAGTCTCTTAAACTTTGGCGGTCCATTTTATATACATGCTATTTAATATGATAACATAGAATAAGCCATTCTATGAAATGAAACTTATCTATAGTCGTACGTCCAAATGAAAGATTCATTAAATATTGGCTAGAATAAAATAGTGATTGAAGGAACACATTTGAAAGGAAACACATAGGTACAGGTTTACTAATAAATCAACTAATTTTAAGTGACCTTATCTATCTAAATATGAACGTATTGCTTTTTTTCTTGGAAGATGGAAATATTACGCAGATAAAGAATAACAATAAATCATTATAAGCAAAAAAATTATATTAAAAATTGTTATTAAATTAATATAAAGACTTTCTACATATGAAACCTATATAAAACATAATATCATTGTTTTCTTCATGAGTTAAACATGAGCAACAATAATACATGATATAAACAATATTGAGATAATCTATAAAGATCACTATTGTTGTACAAAGTAAAGATTAATATGATCAAGTAAAAAACTTAATCGATCAGCAAAATCATGTTTTTAGCTTTTTTATTTGAATAAAATTGTTACGCATCATATGATGATGAGCATTCACTTACTATTTAGTTCCATATTTTGGTGTATAGCCATCAGTTTTATATGTATAACAGTCTAATGAATAACGATCATGAAGTGGTATTATAGATTTAATATGTTTAATACTGTAAATAGCAACACATTTGATGAGTGTGGGTGTGGGTGTTGGTCTTTTCTTCACCTACAACTACATCCATACTCTTCTTTTTTTTTCAGAATTTTACTTTTTATTTTTATGAATTTTTTTCAACATTTTATACTTTCGACCAAAGTTGACTTCACTTATTAATATATACTGAAGTTCTTTTTTATTTAAAATGTTTTTTGTAAAGCTCAGAACTTCCACCACACCAAACAATTTGCTATTGGACATTTAGGAAATGTCATATCCGAAGTTTCTTCTTAAAATCTTCCTAACTTTTTTTTAGTGTAATATTTTATGATGCTATAATGTGAAGATTATGACTTAATTAGCGATAATTGCCTTTATACTTCAAGATGTTCATGATAGAATTGGTATTCTTGACCAATAAATCAGATTGATTAATTTCCGTTTCAGAGTTCTTCGAAATATTCGACTTGATAAACTGTTAAGATAAAACGTTTTACAATAGTTTAGAAACCAAAACCAATGTGCAATATAAGTAAATATGATATAGAACAGAAGAAGCAATTGATTAGTAGGTAAATTATTAAAGAATCCATTGATATAGATTCCCATGTAAGGTATATTCAAAAAAATTGTCACTATCGATTGTACTAGAACTAGAGTTATTAAATGTAAATTATATCGATTTATCCTTAGGTTGAAAGTTGTCGCTACTGTTCCTACTGTTCTGTTCATACTTGCATTCCATACTGGAACAACTCGTCTTCGATTTTGTTGTATATTACTATAGATTAAATAACCAAAGATGGCAAGAAATAGAGGAACAATAACACCATTAAATATAGCAAAGAAATATCCATCGATAATCAATGCAAAAATATAGAAATTTGTTGGTACTCCACATCCTTTTGGATTTGTTACCGTTATAGGCATAATATCGAATAAAATAAGAACATGTGACGAGAATAGAATCCATATTAAAAGTATCGATGGTATTAAAATACAACTGACTTTTACTTGACTTAGTTTTCGAAGTTTTTCACGATGCGAACTTGAACAGAAACGATCAATACTTGCTAAAGTAATATATGTTGATGATAAACAGGGTAAAAGAAATACGGAATAATTGTTTAGTTTACACCAGACTTGCAACGAATTGGTATAGGCATCGATTTGAGAATTTGAATATTTAATAAGTTCCATCACAAGAATCACATTCATTATGAAAAAATCGGTAATTGATGATGAGAGAAAATAGAATGAACAAGGATTACTACGATATTGTCTTTGAAGAAGTATAATAACATTGAATAGAGAGCCAATAGTTCCACAGATGTATAAAATAAGAAGCACATATTTGTTCATTATTGGAAGAATAATCAAAGCTCGCAATAAATCAGGAAATAGTTCGATAGTTGTATTTGTAGAGTTAACCATCTTTGTTTTTCCAAATATATATTCTTTCTCTGTGAAATAAATGAATTTGAGATCTCTTCTTCTTCTTTTTTGCTATCCGTTAAATAAAATAGCAATATAATTATTACAACCAAGAATATATTTAATTATATACGATAGTTTCTAATTACAAATGATATATTTCAGAGTTGAAGACTCCTTCAGACATGATATAAAACTATTACACACTTTTTCACATATATTTTTATACCTATAAATGATTCTAGAAAATTCTCTCTTTTCTTTAACAGTAGAAGCGCGAGACGGTAATATTGGAAAAACTCTGCAATATACTAATCTTCTTCTTCCACCCCACTATCAAAGAAAGAAGCCAGAATTTTCTAGAATCATAATTATAGGTATAAAAATGTATGCGTATATGAAAAAAGCGTGTCATAGTTTTATGTCATGTTTGAGGAAGGAGTCTTCGACTCTAAAGCATCACATCAATAAATAAAAAATAAAAAATAAAAAACAAAAAGATTAAGAAAGAGAGAGCAATTCCTACTGATTTACTATATCCTTCCGTATAAAACGAAAATCATAACAAATTGATAACAGTTGCGAATAGTTTTATTATAAAACGTTCACCAGTTTAGCAAAACAATTTAAGATCATAATATTAGAACGAAATGATCTCACTAGCATAGTCTTATTCGTTTGAATCTTCGATTGACTATTCCATAGAGAAATGAAACGGTACAAATGATTGGAGGTGTTATTGGACTTCGAAAAAAATAATGGTAGGAAACTCTTTGAAGACGTCACTATAAACCATTCTTTTTTTCCTGTATAACAATGGTACGCTCTTTTTGAAAAAGATAATCGTCACGAAAGTTCGTGTTTCAACAATTGTTGAATTATGCATCTTGTCAGAAACGTTGATATATAATCACGTGAATGTATTTGACGCATTGAAACTATTATAAAATTCTCACTGTTTCAAATAGCAATTGATTTACAAACAGAAAAGTATGTCACTTGACTGCAGATCAGTGACTGATAGGAAGCAATGCTATACGGTCGGAGAAAGATGTTATACTTATTTCGTTTTGATTACCAAAAAGAAATAGGCTGCTATTACTCGAAACAAACAAGAATGATGATCGAAATCAATGATATTATAATGTCAAGACGAACTTTCAGACAGATCCGAGTGAAGTTGGATTAGTCTAATCTATTTCTAAAAAGCCGCTTGAAAGAATTTGGCTCTAACGAGATCAGTACCAGCTTTCAAATCAGTAAGAACTGATAGCAGATTTTGCTCTTAGCCGAAAAAGATGAAGAAACGATACCGAATAAGTCGAACAACAGCGCTTAACTTTCTTGCTATCCTTTATTGTTGTCTCAAGGCAATAGTGCTCCCGTCATAATGATGGCATACGACATCAGATGATTTCTGACAGAAACCTGATACGTTTACTTTCATCGAGGAAGAAAGCAATATACTCGTCTGTCACATGTTATCAAAAGTTGAAATGATATTGACATGAACCTTTGTAATACTTCTACGATCAATGATAATTTCAGTCAGTGAGAGTAGCGTTTCAATTCTATTAAAAAATATATATTTCTTGAAGAAAGATATTTTCATTAGTATACAGTAGATCATTTTCCGCATGATAGTTCTTTATTAAGGAAGTACGACAACATCGAATACCGGTTAGTAATGACTGACCATGCAGTACATAGAGGATATGAGTCACTCGAATTTTTCATTCTGATTTGATTGTTAGGTGTATATTGCTCTGACTAGCAGATGTTGCTATTAGTCCACTTATTTTCGTTAGCGTAACATGTATTTGATCATTTACCTCTTGGTAAAATTGTAATAAGCATCCTTCTCAATCATTGGTTGACGTACAACATCCCTCATGTTAATACGCATCCTGTTTTGTTCAGAGAGATCGAGCAAAGCATATGTGTATGTGGTTATCCGAAAGTAATACTACCACTGTTGATCTGCAGCCTTAGCATCCTGCCATAATAATATCACCCTTGTTAAACAGAAGAGAAAGACAAGGAGAGAGTCGAGTGTTACTTATTTACTGAAATCATTGCTTATAACAACTTTTCTAAGAGTTAAACGATTAACTCTAATAATCAAATTCATGTTGCAATGATGAAAATAAGCTGGCTGAGAGTTGCATCAATTTGCCAGAGCAATAACCTTCATCGAAAAATTAAAAATCTGAGAATCTCTGGTTAATGGATCTGAGCTTATTACTGATTATATTGTTTTCTATAACTAAAGAAACCGTTGAGATTAACAAAAAAAAGTATGCTTCTTAGCGACATAATCTAAATATAATACTTTTAATTCTCATAATCAATAGGACATGTTGCTCAAATTTGTTTTTAACCAGTTTATTTCCTATTCTCGTTAATACTTCTTTATTCCAAGTATCTTGCAATAAAAATTTCCGTCACGTGATATCGTCTTTTATCTCATTGCCTTTTTTTTCGCTTCTTTTTACCCCGATTAATTGTTAACGTATTAAAAAATATACACATTATAGTGATTGAAATATGCCTCAATGTCACTGATTTATTTACTAGTTTGTTAATTATGAGTGTTTTTACTACTTTGCTTTGTCTAAAAGATAGAAATCGTTTAGAATCTTTTCATCATTTTTGAACAATTAGATTAATATTTTAAGTCCTTCAAAGAATTTTTGTGAACTTTTAATCATGTTTTTTCTTTTATGTCATTAAGATAATGACTAGTTTCAGTTGATTTTACGTATTAATTTTATTTAGACTTGTTCAAGTAGAAAAATAAATATATTTTATCATAAAAAAATGAAGACAAATCATCTAACTATTTCAAAATACGTATGCTAATATTTAAAATTTTACATATGTTAAAATTGTATTGTTCGTCATTTTTATTTTATTCAATTTATCTATCTCATTTAAATTGGTTAAAAATTGTAAATTGATCTTGAATTTAAATACAATTTATTGAACCAATCACAAAATTTGTTCAGACGAAAATTAGTAGAATACAAAAAAAAACCTGTATTTATTCAATTTTCAATCTATCAAAATTGTTTAACTAACTTAAATAACAGATTAAGATCGATTAATTAATGATAATCTGTTTGATTATACTCTTATTTATCAGTTTTTATTGTTCAAAATAAAGCAAACGCTTCGTTTATTCAACAAAATTTTGCTAAATAATATTCAAAATGAATCATCAACTAATTATATCAATTCAATCGTTTACCAATTTATTTTCGTTTCGTTAATTATTCTTTAAATCAAAAGCATCACTTCTTTTTACTTTACTCTTATGATAATTTAATGACACTCATAAGTGTATATCTCATTTGTTTTTTTTTTATGATTACTTGTACCAGTTGTTGACCAGACACATAAATGATAAAAAATAAATGAAACAAAAATTAAATACGATTTTCGTTCAATGTCTACAATGAAAAGTAAATTCATCGTAAACTGTTCTTATTGTAAAATTGCAAAGTTATAATTTATAATTGCTAAACAGATAATACTTCACCTTGCTTATTGATGTAAAAAACAAAAAAAGTAATATTTTGTCTAACATATAACTTGTCTATACAAAATACATTTGCCCTTTGGATTTTTGCTATCATGTCATCAAAGGTAGCAGTTTCGGTCAATTGTACCTATCTGTTGTGTATCATAAGAAAAAAACAAAAACAAAATATAATCAAATTATCACAAGGGAAAATATTATTTTTAATTATTGAAAAAAAAAACAAAGAATTTCATATTGATTCTTATTTGATTAATTTTTAGAAAAAGATTCTTTTTAAATAAATCTTTATAAAAAACTACAACAAAAGATATATTTCTATTGTTGGTTAATAAATATTTGCTGATTATGGGAAAAAAAACACACATTTGTATAAGGGTTTGTACATGCGCTGATGCGTGACGAAATTGTATGATATTTTGTCTCGTTCTAAAGTGCATGATTCGTTAACCAGTATATAAGTTGTAGTTATAAGCCACTAAAACATAGACATTTAGAAAATAAAACATAAACAATCAAAATTAGCTGAAATCGAAATGCCTGGGATAACAAATGCAATAAGTAACATATTGACGCTTAAAAGCAAAATAAAACCTCAACAGCGAACTTATCGTCGTAAGTTTAATTTAGTTTAACTTAATTCTTATTTATGAATGAAAATAAATAGAAACTCCAGCAAGTACACGAATTCGATGTTTTCCACTTCGTATTGGCCCTGGTGTTGAATTAATCTCAACAATTCATGAATTAATGGAAGATATTGATGTCCAATCATTATCTATTTTAAGTTGTGTTGGAACATTATCAGCATGTTCATTAGATTCACATCAATTAAATAAAAAAGAATATAATATTGTATCATTAAGTGGAACATTTGATAAACAATCTCATAATATAATGGGTTCATTTGCTGATTCTGAAACAGGTTCATTAATTGGTGGTAAAATTCGGTCTCTTACTGTTCATACAACATGTGAATTAATGTTAGCTGAACCACTCGATTGTACTTTTTCTCGAGAGTTTGATCCAAGAACTGGACAAAATGAATTACATGTTAGACGAAAACTTCTTACTGATTTATAAAAAAACTTGTCTCTTTAGATTTTCTTTTTGTACATAAATTCAATTTGTAAATATTCTCTTTTTTTTTGCTCAGAACAATAAAATATTTTATTTGACTTAAATTAATAGATTTGTTTTTTATTAATGATATTCATTGACTGTC